CCCCAAAACCCCAAAACCCCAAAACCCCAAAACCCCAAAACCCCAAAACCCCATAAATTCTAAATTTTAAATTACCCTTTATAATATAAATTTACCTTAGTAAAAATGCAGAAAATAGAAGCTTTTGGGGAAGTTCCTCTGGCAAGGTTTGGACATACAGTGACACTTGTCTCAAAGAAGAAGGCTGTTCTTTTTGGAGGAGCTACTGGGGATACAGGAAAATATGTTATCACAGGAGACACCTATATTTTTGAAATACAGAACAAGAAATGGACGAAACTTGAAGGAGGAGGTATCACTCCTGCACCAAGGGCAGCTCACTCCTCAACTTCTGTTGATACCCTCCAAATGGTTGTTTATGGAGGGGCTACTGGAGGAGGAAGCTTGGCTTCAGACGACCTTTATTTACTAGATTTGAGAAATGGAGAGAAAAAGGCTCAGTGGATGATAGTGCCTGTTGTTGGCAATACTCCAGGTCGCAGATATGGTCATACTATCATCTTCTCAAAGCCCTACCTTCTTGTGTTTGGTGGAAACACAGGAACCGAACCTGTAAATGATGTTTGGTGTCTCAATGTCGATAAAGCTCCTTTTTCTTGGACATTACTTGATACTGTAGGAGATCAGCCATGAGTCAGAGTATACCATTCAGCTGCACTTTGCTCTACAGGATCAGCGACTGGAATGATGGTTGTTTTTGGAGGAAGAACAGGAGATCAAACTGCATTAAAAGACTCTTGGGGTTTAAGAAGACATAGAGATGGAAGATGGGACTGGGTAAAAGCACCCTATAAACCTAATAGTGATGAACCACTCTCCAGATATCAGCATTCAACTGCATTCATTGGTCCTTTGATGCTTGTTATCGGAGGTAGGACTGATACTGTTGGAGAGACTGTGACTCTTGAGGTTTATGATACTGAGAGTTCCGAATGGAAAAGATTTTCATCCATCCAGAGATTCAGACATGCTTGTTTCTGTTTGGATACACAACTCTACATGCATGGAGGATTTGATAATGAGTCTCCAACCGTTCCCACTGACGCAATTATGAAATTAGATGCTGTTCAAGTCTTAAAAGGAGCACCTGAGCTTCTTGAAAAGTTAGAAAATTGATTTGGAATTCAACCAAGCTCTGGCTCAAATACTCCAAATTCTCCTCACGGAAGCTATTCAGATAAATCAACTCCTACTCAAAAAGAAGGAGGTATTATCCTGAAGAAGCCTCAGATTGAAAACATTGAAGATATGGAAGAAGAGAAGGACATGAAGATCGGCAAAGGAGCCAAGGGAGGAAACTCCGTTGAGACCTTATACACTCTCTTCCTAAACCATCTCCTCAAACCTAAGGAATGGGCATCAAATGAGGATGGAATTGCTGATACAGAGATGGATAGGTTTTACTTCAGAACCAACTTCATCCTGTCCTTAGTGGAAGAGTGACAGAGAGTCATCGAGTCTCAACCAATGGTGCTTAAAGTAGAATCTCCTGTCAAGGTCTTTGGAGATATTCATGGCCAATACCAAGATCTCATGAGGTTCTTCGATTTGTGGGGAGAACCATCTGAGAAAGGAGATATCGAATCGTATGACTATCTTTTCCTAGGAGATTATGTTGATAGAGGATCTCACTCATTAGAAACTATTTGCTTGTTGCTTGCATTGAAGATCAAATACCCGACTAAAATTCATTTATTGAGAGGAAATCATGAAGATAAATGGATCAATAATGCATTCGGGTTTGCAGAAGAATGTAACACAAGACTAAATGAAGACCCTGGAGAGCCTGACTCTGTTTTCAACAGAGTTAATGAGCTATTTGACTGGCTCCCTCTTGCTGCCATTATTGAAGATAAAATTGTGTGCCTCCATGGTGGTATTGGAAGTACTTTAGCAAGCTTGGAACAGATCGAAGCAATTCAGAGACCTCTAGAAGTTATTCATGAAGTTTCGACTCCCGAACAACAGCTTGTAGTTGATATTTTATGGTCAGATCCTACTGATAATGATTCAGAATTAGGAATTCAGCCTAATTTCATTCGGGATCCTAATGGGACTGGAAACATTGTTAAATTTGGACCGGATAGAGTCAAGCAATTTTTAGAGAATAATGGAATGTCAATTATCCTAAGAGCGCATGAGTGTGTTATGGATGGATTTGAGAGGTTTGCTGGAGGACAACTCATCACGGTGTTCTCAGCAACTGATTACTGCGGAAGACATAAAAATGCCGGAGCCGTACTAGATATCACTAAACAATCAGAAATCATTCCAAAACTGATCTATCCTCTAAATAATGCTGAGAACAACTGGGAGGAGAGTGCTTTGGAGAAGAGACCTCCTACTCCTCCAAGATGGAGTTCAGGTAACAGATCTGATTCTCATGAATAAATATAAGAAAGTCACTAATTTCCATAACCGACATTCATTAAGGGGTTTTGGGGTTTTGGGGTTTTGGGGTTTTGGGG